AAAAAAAAAAAAAAAAAAAAAAAAGGTGCGGAAGAAAACTTTAGGAAGATGAACGGAATCGAATATTAAGGTTAAAGTTGAGTTAACCGATGCATCCATGCTCGTGGTCGAGATGCGGATTTTCTCGTATAAAATCATCAACGTTTTTCTATTATACTTTTACGAATAGACGAAACGACGCACAATAGATGGTTCTGGATCGTGCCATTATATCGAAATATAATAAGGAATTAGAGAAAACGGAATAGAATATCGGTAGTAAAAAGCAACGCAGCAGTCATGATTGAACAATTTTTAGTTTTGATTGTATGAAAAATACTATTTTAAACAATATTGGAGAGATGAGAAATTTAATTTTTCTATACTTTCATAAATAGACGAAACGACGCACAGTAGACGGTTCTATAGATCGTGCCATTATATCGAAATATAATAAGGAATTAGAGAAAACGGAATCGAATATCGGTAGCAACGCACCAATATCATGATCGAATAATTTTTAGTGCCATTATATCGAAATATAATAAGGAATTAGAAAAAACGAAATCGAATATCGGTAGCAACACACCAACGTCATGATCGAATAATTTTTAGTTTTATGATTATGGAAGAATATTATTTTAAACAATATTGTCTATTTATGAAAGTATAGAAATTTAGTTCTTCTATACTTTCATAAATAGACACACTAGACAGTTCTGAATTGTATCATTATATCGAAATATAATAAGGGATTAGAATAGGAATTGAATATCGATAGTAAATAGCACTAACGTCATGATCGAACAATTTTTAGTTTTATGATTGTGCGAAGAATGCTATTTTAAACAATATTGAAGAGGTAAGAAATTTAGTTTTCCTACACTTTCACAAATAGTAGAAACGACGCATAGACGGTTCTATGGATCGTATCATTATATCAAAATATAAAAAGGAATTAGAGAAAACGGAATCGAATATCGATAGTAAATAGCACTAACGTCATGATCGAACAATTTTTATAATTATAGGAAGAATATTTTAAAGAATATTGGGAGGGGAAAAAAAGTGAGAAACTTAAATTGATGAGAATGGAATATCGGTCAACGTGATACACACATTGATACTTGTATAAATAGATTGATTCTTTCCAATTTCTTAAATTCACCACAAAGAGCGAGCCCATAAAGCGGATATATTATTCTCGTTTATTGTGTTTCATCGAAAATCGCGGACTTGTAATGGTAACCGAATTAATCGGCTCCAATCTGTCCGCCGTATAAATTAGATCCTCGTTACGCATCGTGATTATGATGGAGCGTGTGCGCTCGTTGTTTTCCCCACGGCGTGAACCGGTAAATAGTAAACAAATTAATTGTCGCCGGCCGGGGCCACAAATCAGGCGTCGCGATTTGTTGCGTCGATCTGCAGATTTTCACCGTGTACACCGATGTATATATATATACCGAGTGGATTTTCAAAGGGCAACCGTGCGAATCGATTTCGCGGTCGCGAAAAGCGAGGGAAATCAATCGCGCGTTGTTCGTGCCACCGCGATTTAATCGTAGTGGCAGGTTCCGGTCCTTGACTTCCGGTCAAACGTTCCAATGAAAGGATCGAAAGAGGGAGTTCATCGAAAAGTGATTCGTTCTTGCCGAAAATAAAAATCGCGGAAAGTCGAAGCGTAGAAATATGTTATAACGACAACGTTGATGAAGCATTAAATACGTAATTAATTCTATGCGGAATTTTCAAGAAAATGAAAGTTTCCAGATCTCCATTTGCATAAGGGATGAGCATTTCCCTTATAGCCTCTTGGATCCTTTTCGTACGTATCAAAAATCGATATCCATAATAAAGAATCCTTTTCGATTTTTCATGTCGCGTTATTGATAAAAACGGATCGGATAAATTATCGATGATCTTCGAGATGTCTTAGAAATGATATATTACATTTTATCCTTTCGTGAGAACCCTCTTCGATTTTTGTCATATTATCAATCATAATAAAATAATAATAATAAATATAATAAAACAAAAATGGATAAAAATGGATCGGAAAAATTATCGACGATCGAATCGATCGAAATCGTCCGCAATTTTCCATTTGTCCCAGAAACGACCACGTTCCAGGATGGGACGATCGGCTCGAACGGTGTTTACGATCGTTTTATCTTTTCGCAGGGAAGTCTCACACGATGCTGGGAACGCCGGAAGCAGGGCACACTCTAGGAGCGATCCCCTGCGCGATCGCCTGGCTGTTTCGAGGCATATCCGAGCAGAGACAGAGGACGGGAGCCAGATTCAGTGTCAGGGTCAGTTGCGTGGAATTAACCACCGGTCAACAGCAGCTCAGGGATCTTCTCGCGGCTCACGCTAACGGTGAGTAAATACTGCGAGATTCGGATCCTATGAAACTGTCACTACAAATCCTGTACAAATCTCGAAAGGATAACGAGGATGGAGGGCGGAAAGCAAATACACTCGTTTCACGCTCCAACGTGGCGGTAAGAAACGTGGAGAAGTCAAATAGCTCGTCTATCCAAACGCGTCCATCCACCATTCGAGTCGTCAAAATTTTGAAGAAAGAGAATACTTCTCACCGAAAAAGAATGATTCTAAAACGGATTGTTCGCAATCACCGAGGTGTTTCAAAGTTTTCTCGTTTCCTCGATCGCGGTGGTAGTATCGTGGCGTGTCGAAGAAACTTGAGTCGTAAGAAACACTTGTCCCGAACCCGGCCCCCCTTTTAACGGAACCTTCCCTTTCGACGATTCGCTCTCGCGCCTATAAAAGGACTGTCTTAGGGATCTACTACGCACGATATAGGCACAAGGTAGGTGAACGGTAGAAGGGGTTGAAAGTTTCCTTCGAGATAGGATTGAATTCGCCGCGATTAATTCGATGCTTGGAACAATGCGGGCGAGTAGAATCGTTTTGGATTAATTGGTGGCGAGTGTGCACAGGGCACAGCGAGGAGAATTGTCCCTAATTGACTCGTCGATGGAAATGGATCGTGCTTGATTTTTAAAATCCGGATTTACGTTATGTTGCGAATTGTGATTATCGAATTCGTTTTCTCTTATATTTAATTTTTAATTTTCTCGAAAAATGAATTATATATTTTTCGAGCAAAAAAAAAGTCCTTCTATTAGAAACTTTTAATAGAAAAAGAAGGAAAGGAAAGGAATTAAAATCGCTTTAGAATATAAATCCAGAAGGAACAACAAGACCGCGAAGCGATTTTGTCATTGTGGGAAGTAAATTGCATCGATAAAAACAGGAGTGGAAGAACGGTTTTAAACGCGGTATTCAGAAAATAAAAAGTCGGCAACAGGAGATGGGAGAGAAATTATATCCGAAAATCGCATATTCCATTTGCTCGATACTACTCCGATACTCTAATCCCATCGACTTCTGTGTCTTTCGATCGGTAAGAATGGACCGTAATAATCATCCAAGGGGATGAGAAGCATTGGTCGAACGT